ATCTGAGCGCGTTAATAGAACACTAAAGCCGATGTTGGCTATTTTTGCTCAAAATGATAAGGAATCTTGGGATATTCGATTGCCACAGCTAGCCTTAGCCATTCGAGCAGCCATAAATGAATCGACAAGTCAAACGCCTGCATTTTTAATGTACGGTCGGGAACTTAAATTGCCTCTTGACTTAATGTATGGTCCAGAAGTTGATGTTCTTGATGAATTAAGATCATCCGATGAAGTACGGACCTATACAGAACGTCTGAAAGCAATTTTAGAGTCTGCGCATGAATCGGCTAAAGAAAATCTTGAAATAGCTCCAGAAAATCAAAAATCATCCTACGATTTACATCGTAAGAATATACAATTTGCCGTAGACGAGAAGGTTTTGATGGCAAATACCGCTGGTTCCGCTTTAGGTAAATGGGCGACGCCTAAGCTGGCCACTAAATTTGTCGGTCCTTACCGTATCGCGAGAAAAATCGGTCCTCTAGATTATGAGCTAATTTCTGAAAATGATGGTGCTGTTTTAAGTCCGATTCACGTTGAACGGCTTAAACCATATCATGAACAGAGTTCTCTAATCTGAAATTACTGTTCTCTGGCCTTCCACTGTACATTTCACTGTACATATACATATATTGCCTTATTTATAGCTGTTTCTAATTTTCGGTTTAAAACGCTTGCTTCTAAGTGTTCTAGTTGCAGTTTGCAACTCCGTTTTGCAGCATGAGTGATCATTCTATTCCTTCCTACTTTATTTTCACATTATTTTATCTTCGATATCGATATTTTTCAATAATTCAGTTTCTATTAAGGATTCATAGAGAGTTCAGAGGAATTGGGGGATTCATAAGGATTTCTGGAAACTCCTAGGAGTCAATGCACGAAATAGACTATACATTTCCCAATATCCCTGCTCAATCGATGTCTCATATTTCAATGAAATTTTGTCAGCATATAGCCCTAAGTGAGATATGAAAACGCTAAAAATTTCAGCTTCTAAAACCTTTCCTTTCCACCTAACCAGCTATCTACTTAGAAATCTTATAATAATCAAAATGAAACAAAATTTTTCATCTGTTACACAAAATGTCAATTTGCAAGTAGAGCATTCGATATTAGATCGAACTTCTGTGCTTCCCTAGTGCTACAATAAACACATCTGCTTCTTTTTCCTTGGACTGGTGATTATTTTTGTGACATAATTCTAACTCAAAATGTAATACCTTTTTTAAGTGATGAAGAAAATGTTATTGATCCTGATCAAGTTACATTTGTGCATAATAAGGCACCATGTATGCGAGCAGACAAAACCCAACATTTGCTTCAAGACAACAATATGAAGTTTTGGGGTAATGACATCTGGCCAGGAAATTCGCCTGATCTCAATGTGGCAGAACGTATTGGATCAATAGTCAAAGATGAAGTTGAGAAAAAAATATTATCAGAGACTGGACATAATCAATATCTTGAAGATACACTCAAAGTGCATATAACAAATGTTTTGACCAATATCGAAACGGACGTCGATTGATTTGAAACACTTTTACGTTCGTATCCATCACGCTTCCGTGCAGTGAAGAATGCTAACGGTCGTCACACTCATTATTGATTCTATTCATTAAATGTTAAAAAAATAAACTATTTTGGAAC